TTGCCTGCTTTTTTTTTAAGAAGAAAGGTGGGCGGAGAAAATGTGTTAGGGAAACTTTAATTACCTTTTTTTTTTTTTACTGCAAAATTTACTTTAGGCAAACTTGCTCCTCCCCAAAAAACACCCTTAAAGTAGAACTCGGAGGGGAAAAAAAAATCTTAATCCTTGGAGCGGGGATAATATACTCACCTGATCCTTGCAACAGTCTGTCTCTTAGACCTGTCCCCTCCACCTCGCTCCCCCTCCGCTGCAGCAGTCTAAGGATCGTTGATTTATCACGTTCTATACAGTGTATTGGATGCTGTGGGACATACCATTGCTGCTGTGGAGGATACAGTCTGGAGGGAGTGCTGTGCCAGGAGGCCAGATCTGAGGTTCCTGGTGAGCATAACTTTTTATTTTAAACCTAGACACAAACAAGCACTTAACCCTTCCAGTGTGGGGATAGCTCCACTGTAAGGGCTAAGAATGTATTTCCCTGGAGTTCTTCTTTAATGTGTATGTAAAGCCAAAATGTTTTTGGTTTTAGGGTTAGAGTTCCTGGTGGGTTTTGACTTCAATCTGGAGCTCCATTAGACCATTTTCCGCTCTCTTTCTACCCTGCTAACAATGGTTTCACCTTACAGGAAATGAGGGGAAATCTGCAATAGGTAAATGGCCAGAAATAAAAACGTGGCAGGGGTTCTAGTCCCCCCCTTACCAACAATAACCATTCTTATTTTTGGCTGTTTGGTTGTTGGAGCGCTCTCTTTGGTTTCTGTGTAGTAAAATGTTGCCAGCAAGTCAAATGGAGCCTGGGATAGCAGTAAAAATGGGGATTCCAACATTCTCTCCCTAATCAGTTAATCAATAATAGGTCATGAGAATAGTTAGTTGTCAACTATTCTCATTATAGATTAGTTGGTTGGATCACCTAGCTCTCTCATCCATGTTGGGAGGAGGGCACAGCAGGCAGTGGGCGGGTGCAATAGCCAGCCTACTATTTGCCAATGCAGTTTTGAAATGGCCAATAGCAGGCTGGCTATCGCACCAGCCCACTACCTGCTTTATTTACATTCAGCTGCTGTGTGTGGAATCTGCCACTGGCAGCTCTCATTCCCTGGCTGAGGCTTTTCAAGCGCCATATGCTTTCAATACGATTATTAAAAAGAATTTATAAAAGGTGGGGAAAAAAGTAATTTCCGGTTTTGGCCTGACTGATTCTGCTGTGGGAGGTGCATTAATTTCAATGGCACCCCAAACGTGCCTCACACCCACAATGTGATCACCTGCACTGAAACCCACAGTAAGGCAATGTTGTGTGTTCCAGAGCAGTGCGATTGCAAGAAATTGTGCATGCAGTTTTATTCTGAAGTAAACTTTGTAACGCTGCATTTGTGTATTTTATTTTAAATTAAGAATTTTATCTATATCATTTTTTTCTATTCGATTAATCAAAAAATAATTGGCCAACTAATCAATTATGAAAATAATTATTGATTGCAGCACAGCACTATCTCTATCCAAAACAAAGTGCAAGTTTTGTCTTCAACAATCCATTATTTATTAGGCAGCCTTTTGGTGCCTTATCCAACAGGTAGAGTATCTGCTTTGTCTCCCGCTGCCCTTTTAAAGATGGACTTTTCCGAAGAGATGGTGTGCCACATGACAGTGCTATGGCCTGTTTATTGCATGCTCTGTCATGAAGCTTTGCCGCAATGGAGAACAGGGTGGATGGTGGGTGCAGAGCGAGCTGGCAATAGCAATTTAAAAAATCGCGTAAAAAATTTAATCTGTTGCACTTTTGCTGGCTGGATTGGGGGTCTATTGATAAAGCATTTACATGGCCATTTGTCCAGCAAAACTTCATGTACATTTGTTCTGTGCGAATAGGGCGGAATTGAATGTTCTTAGTGTAACTCCTCTTCTTCTGGTTGAATTTTTTAAAAGAATGTAAATAACATATCGGCTGTCTCTTGCTCTCGCTTCCAGATTAAATGAGAACTACCATAACCTGAATAGTTCTATCAATACTGAGAACATCGGTTTGGGCCCCATTCACACTTGATGCCAATGTGAACATGCAAAGCATTTTGATGCATGTCAGCATAGGGCAGCCCATTTATTTCAATTGGCTTCCCTACACGTTACAATCGCTGCAAAGAAGCTCATGTGGCAATTTTT